AAAACGATCTTTGTTATATCGAGATAACGAGATAATAAGTCGTTATCACGATATAAGTGCATGAAAAAAAAATCCATGGCCGTTCTCGGCTTCCGTACAAACAAGGGATGTACCATGAATATTACCAGGCATGGAGGGTCAAGCAATACTTATCAGTTGCATCATGGGTAATGTAGGATCTAGTGTTTTCTGAGTCTCACCAACAGTGTGGACTGAAAGTCAGGATATTTTGGCCTCTGCTACATAGATTTTGACCATTGTTTTTAAAGATGTATGTCTAGGAAGCTCCTCAACTTTATGTTAGTACAATATACATTTAAGTATAGTTGGTATAGAGTACCCCTTTAACATAGATAGATTTATTGATCCCAAGCCGGGAAATTGCAGACATAATAATAATAATAATAATAATAATAATAATAATAATCTGTTGTTGTAATTTACTTTTCTTTCTCTTCAAATAGTGAAGCTGTGAACCCAAATTTTTATTATTTGGGTGCTTGAAAATTAAATATTTGCAAATTTTATAATAAATATTAATTTATTAAATTCTCTGAACGATTTTAGAAACCGTGATTTTTCTAAAATTTAAAAATTCATTCTTTCTAAAGAAAGAAGTAAATTACCATTATTAGTTAAACTTAAGAAATTTGAATTGAAAAAAATATGATTTTTTTTACAGTGTAAGAAAGTTAAAATGTTCGTGCGTGAGGTCCGATGGTGGCGGCGTTTGACGGAAGTTTTGTGTAGCCAAAACTGTACATAGTGACACATCAGTTCAGTTCAGGTCAACAGTTTAACCTCGGCGCTAAAGGTGTATTAACCTGCAGGTAACCATAGCAACAGCACTGATGCTTCAGGAACTACAAACACACTGTAAAACATGCACTGTAAAACAGGGTTCGGCTTTAAGTTGAGAAAACTCATAATTTAATGGCAACTGTCTCCATTACATTAAACATTTTTAAATAAACTAATAATAATTAATAATAATTGATTTTTTTCCCTTAAAATAAAATAAATTCAGTATTTGGAAAAATTTATAATTTTTTTTTCTCACTTCCAACTGCACCCAAATGATGAAAACAGTTCACAGCTCACTCAGATTTGTTTTTGAGGCATGATTTGGCTTCCGTTTACTCAGTGATCAATAATGAGAATAAACATTTTAAAAATACGGATTTTTGTTGTTTCTAGAAGTTTTTCTGAAGCGGAAAAGTAAATACATTTTTATTCCATTTCTTTTAATCTTATAATATATTTAATAATCCATAATAATACACATTTAAGTTACTCTGACTTTATTCAGATACATTCTGTGAACACATTTAAATAAGTTTGGCGAAATAACTTTCAATTAACTGAATGAAATTAAACACTTAACTCAAATTTACTCAAATCAAATATTTTTTTCATGCTTAAATTGTTTGAATCAATCAGTTTCCTCAGTTTGAGTTGAACTAACTCATCGGGTTTTACAGTGTGACACATAAAGCGTATTATGTTAAAATATTAAAGCAAAACTATTTAAAAGGTTATTTTAAAACTTTAGTTGGAGTTTGACTAGAAACTTTAAAATTTACTGACGACAGTTGCTTTAAAATTATGAGTTTTCTCAATTTTTCACTGTAAAACCAGAAAAGTTAATTTAACTTTAAAAAATTGTTTATACTGATTAAGTCGAAAATTTCAAGTAAAATAAACTTTTTGTAAGTTAAAACATTCTTGATCAAGCAGCGTTAGTCTTTTTATTTGTACTGTGAAAACAAAATACTCAGTAAAAATGTTTCTGTAACTTATTAAAATTTAGTTTGTGCAACTAAATGTTTAAAGTAACTTGCAGTGCACTGTAAAACCTGATGAGTTAATGTAACTCAAAAAATGGTTGAAACTCATTACTTGAATGAATTTTAAGTGAAAACAAACCAAGTAAGAAGTAAAAGTTTAAACAAGTTAAAATAACTCGTGTTTGTTGTTTGTACAAATACAAATTACAAAATTAAGTCAGTGACACTTAAAATTACTAAAGCTGCTTAATCAAGAATGTTTAAACTTAAAAGTAAAATTTTTAAATGAATCAGTTTCAACAATTGTTTGAGTTAAATTAACGAATATCCTGTAATTATAATAACTGAATGTGATTTTAAGGCACTGAAATGGACATGATGATGATGATGATGATGATGAAGATGACGATGGTGATGGTGATGGTGAAGGTGATGATGATGATGATGACGATGACGATGATGGTGATGATGATGATGATGAAGACATTGAGTGTATAAGGTTGTTTTTTCTTCTCCATGTGCTCCTGTTAGCTCCTCTTAGACTGCATGCTTAGACAGTTTGGTTCTGGCATGAATGTTTATCACTGCGTAGAATTATGATCTGTTGTGAATGTGTTTACAAAAAATAGAAACAACAACAAAAAAGTAAATAAATATGTGTGTGTGTGTATATACACATATATATAATACACAGTGGGGATCGTCGCCCACACGTCCATTTTCTATTCACTCTGTAAATGTACAGTTTGTTCTGAACGCCTCATTAATGTCAAATCTATATTTGTTTGCAATTATTTGTATTTATTTATCTTTTCTTTCGTGTGTGAGTGACTGTGTGTGTGTGTGTGAGTGAGTGTGTGTTTAAGGTTCAGTCACTTTCCGTTGTACCATGTCGCCGATAATGAACCTTGTTTCCTGTATCGATCTGCCTTTCGTTGCTCTGACTTCTTTTGATTGTAAACTGTGATGCACTCTTAAAAAATAATGTGTCATTTTTACTGTGTGTGTGTGATTGGCATGGATGGACATTAATATCATTGATAGTTAGAAAGAAAGTAAACTGCAACTGAATTTCACACATTTTATTTATTTATTTATGAATATTATTTAACGAGGGGTCAACAGGTGCTCCTGTACTTAGATATGCTATGCTAGGCTAATCTGTTGAAAACACAAACACATTTTGGCGATTTAAAAGATAAAAGACACACATATGTCTCTTTTATCTTTTAACTATCTTCAAAATGTGGATGTCTTTTCAACATAGATTAGTTTAGCACGTAGCATATCTCAGTACAGGTAAGAAGGAAGTTGCCCGAGGTTCAACTGTTAGCTGTTATCAGCCAGTTTAATAGAGGACATATTAGAATTACAACATCCCAACACGGTGTACAAGTGTCTGACGTTGTATGCAACAGCATAAAAACATTATTATAAACAATTATATAATTCCTAACTTTTCAGCTTTTTGTTTTTGGGCATGAATTGTCTTCCATATACTCAGTGAGAGCTTCATATAAAAATGTTAAATACAGATATAATCAAAGTGATCAATAATGAGACTAAAACATGTTGTTAATCAGAAAAAAAGTGCAGCGGGTTTTATTTAAAATATTTCTGCTGGTCGGCCACATGAATGAATCCACAGAACAAATGAAAACACATAATATAAAAAGATAAAAAAAACACTGATGTACTGTATGTACAGTTATAAATAGAATACTTTTACATTCATTCACATACATCACATCTTTATCAGAAACATAAACACAAACTATAGTTTCATACACAGTGTCCACAGATATCAGTTCATTTTTATCCTGAACAACCTGTAGGGGTAATTAAATGTTTATTAAAGAGGAAAAATAAGGTTGTTATGTGCAATAATGCTAATGTTTTAACTGTGAAAAATCATTTCCAGGTCAAACATTCTGCAGTTTCAGTGTTTATAAAAAGTTATCTGGTCTGTAAAAACCAGGAACAATGAGCCGTAATGCTGCGTTCAGGTTGCAGTAATTAAACCTTGAACTGACGTCAGACATCAATCAATTGTTAGCGGCTAGTTAGCATGTTAGCAAAATCCTAGCTAACTATAAAGCTAACTGTAAATATATATGCATCTTTTATCTTTTAACCATCTTCAAACAGAGATTAGCATTAGCACATTGCATGAAAACTAATATTTACTAAAGCTAATCTTCCATTAAATCACTCGTCTTTTGTCCTTTGATATTAAATTAAAATGTTTATTTAAGTCAGTTAATTCGCACTTTATGAACACTGTTCTAGAAAGAAGCTGTAAATAAAGTTACATATATTATGATGCTCACTAATTGGTACGTTTTTGTTAAAGCAAATTTTTCTTTTATAAAACCAGATTATTGTTCAAATGGCAGCAGGTATCTTATTGTGGATTAGGACTCTGTGAAACCAGAACACTGTGACGTGTCTCAGTCCTCAGGCTTCCTCGATGGGCGGGCTGTTGAAGCAGCCATTGGGGACGGCATTCAGGATGTCCTCCAGGTTAGCAATGTCTGCCAGGATGTTGTCGATGTCTAGGTTGATGCCGGTCAGCTGGCGTCGCTGGGCGGACTCCTGCTCCTCCATGTCCTGGAGCCGAGGCCTCAGACGGCCTTCCACGTCTCTCTGAGCGCCGGCCAGAGAGTCCTCCAGCCGCT